ATAAAGCTACAGAACTAAGTCTGGTTTAGAAAAACACAAAGGAATACATAACTTCAAACACACAAAAGTTGTACTGAAATTAGTGGGACAATTTACAAGTTCTCATTAGGAGAAGTTCTTTATAGATGGAGTTCATGGTATAAATATTAACATACAGTGCTTTAATATGGTCTTGCATTGCCATGTCAGCTCTTTCCCCCACCTACAATAAGCTTTGGCATTAATTCAGACACCCACTGTCTTTTCAGAAGAAAGCAATTTAAAGAAAGTAGAGAGGTCTAAATTATTCCCCTATTTAACTTTCCCTTATTAAAGACAGTGGGCACAGTAGGTATAAACAAAACTGAAAGTACTCAGTAGTTTGTAGTGTCTAAAGTACTGATTTCTTCTAGGTGGTACCTGGGGATCCCTCCAGTAAAAATGAAACTGTGGTAGATGTGAATATTCTGACTTCTCCTACTTTCACCATTAAAGTTCCTCCCAATTTAGACCCAGAGAGTGCTGAATTCATTGAATATGTAGCTGGGAAAGCACTGCAACTGTATAAGCAGAATTTTTAAGTGGTAAGTTCATTTTTTGTCCTTTCATGGAAAACAAAATTCTTCCTAACAGGTGTTTACATTGCAATAAACTTTACTTGGAACAGAATTCAGTCACGGTATATACAAGACTGCCTCCTCAGAAACGACATATTGATTAAGACAAACAGAAGCGTTATGGAAAACAGAAACAAACACTCAATGTTCTAGCCTGCAAACACAGACACAATGATATTAAATGATTTGACTTATTTAACTGTGAAACCCTCATCTTTAAGTAACATCTGGGATGAGGTAATGTGATGATAAACATTTCTTTAGAAAAGAATTGCCTCACAACCACAGTCCACTGTCTTGGCATCAAAAACCATGTCTTTGTGTTTATTCATCATGAATGAACTGGAATTGCCACTCTTCAGTATGGTTTTTATTTTCAGTGGTGTTTAAGAGCATGCTTGTATTATTTTTCATGATAAAGGACTGCAAAGTGAGAACCATCACCAGGACTTGAAAGATCTGTCTTATCATAACGTTTCTCCATTAGCAGCACTCTGCTCAGATTAACAGTGTAAACAGAATCTGCAGTTCAACTTGCAGGAACATGCATAGAAAGATCCTTCTCAGGGGCTTCTAACCATTTTTGTAGAAGTCTCCCTCCATGTTTAAGGGATTTCCAGATGAGGAAGAAAGAACCAGTCAGGCAGGCAGGCAGGGATTAAAAAATGCTACATATTCTCTAACCCAACAGGGAATCTCCAGGAAAGATGGGGTGGGTTTAGGTGGCATCATGCTGCTGTGCGGCTTGTAAGGCACCCTTCCCTAGGTTTCCCTTCCCAGGGGGCCCTGGGAGGCACAGGTTTAGTGACCTCTTACAAGTGGTTTTACCAGGGGACAGAGCTGCAAGACGCATGAGACCTTTAGGCAAATCACTATGTTGTCCCCCCAGTCCTCTGAATAGGACTATATTTGGACACAGCTCCTTTTTAGGTCATTGGGTGTCTGATATCCTCAACTCAGCAACTGAAGCATGACCTGAACACACAGAGAAGTCCGAGGAGGTATGTAAGAAGCATTCAATATTAACAAAGTAGATGAAGAAAATTTCAGTATTTTGTATTAACTCTGGTTATTCTTTTGAGGTTAGACGTACACTTTTTAAACAGGTGAAAGAAATCATTTCCACCAGAGAAGCTGAGGTGGGCTGCAATATTTGGGCATAATATAATAAGCCTCACTACGAACTTTGTTTATTGGTGAAATGAGGAGTATATTATATTTAAAATACAAACATTTCTAATATTTACAAACATATCAAATAAAATGTTCAAACAGATTCTGTACAAACTTTCTTCAAAATTCCCTGTAATTGATATGCACTTATTGATACACTCTTTCAGATCATGGAATACTAATCTTCAAGGCCTAATAATGAGAATAATTATTTCCTTAGTCTGATTATGATTTTTAGCCTGAATTTCAGTCTGATTTTTCTGTGCAACATATCTTGTGTAGCTATTTCATACGTGAGAAAAATAAGCGGCATTGATTTCCAAATCACATTACCATTTTACATTCAGTTTGCACAAGATTACATGAAAATGTGATGATAAAAAAAAGAATTAAAAGTCTACAAGAAAGCGGAAAGATCTATAAGAATGAAAAAAGAGGGAAAAAACCCCATTTCTCTTTGGTTTTTATGTCATTAATGTTTCTATAGTAGGACACTGATACATTCCACATATACTAATTTTTCTAACATATTTTTCTCAATCCAAAACCAAAATGTATAATTTCTTTTTTTTTTTCCTCCTAGGAAAGAAGATGTGTGAAATCTTTCTTCCTTGACCACTATGGCTGAAATACCCCTATGCTCAACATACAGCTAATTGTTAAATTACTATGGTTAAAATAGTTGCATATAAATAAAATTTTGCTTAGTAAATACTGTGACATATAAGCTATCAACCAAAGACTGTAGAAATCTTTTAAATCAAAAATCAAAACAAATCCATTTTAATATTCATTTATTTAAATAAAATGTTATTTATGTTGTAAATTAGGTAATCTTTGATAACAAGCTATGGCTCTGGTTATCCAAATATTTAAGAAAATAATCAGCTGTAAGCATACAAGTAATTTCTATCTGCATGCTTGAATTCAAGCACATTCTTAATCATTTTCAAGATTGGTCCCTACAGATGTTGCACATTCAGCTAAGTTTGAATCAACCAGATTTCCATATGAATGTAGCATATTATTTTGTGATGAAAATGTTCCATTTCTTCTTTCAGTTGCTTTTGATGTTTATTGTGTACATTAAATGACTTTTCTGAACATGCAGTACTAAGTTTTCAGCCTTTGGCATTTCTTACTTGTAGTTTGCCTCCGGAGTTTATTTTTTAATTAACTAACAGCCTTTATCAGTAAAGAAGTTCATTTTTTCCAAAATTATACACATTAGCTTTCAATGGTATTTGTAAATTATAATAAAGGTTAAGAACTGATATATCACTCAGCTAGAAGCAGAGCTCTAGGTGATTTAGTTTCATTTGCTGTGCTCAGTATTTCTAAGCATTGTTTGCACACAGATATATGCACCATTTTCAACTGTATCCCTGCTAAATAAATCGTATTAATTTCAAAGTGTACAAAACCATCTATAGTAGATATGAATATAGAAAAATATCCACACCCTAGTTATACTTTATGTTTTCCTTTACTTCTATACATACAAGTAAGTATACAAATTTATACAAGAAAAAGGCCATTTAATTGTTTTAAATTGTGGTAAAGATGATTTTCTGCCTGCTGCAAGGAAAAGTAGCATTTTCTAATCCACAGTCCTCTGTTCTCCCTAACTTCCATCTTCTATACCTGTATTACAGGCTCCTAATCGTGAGAGATTAGCAGTCATAACTCCTGTAATCACACCAGTGGTCAGAAAGCCAGGCTTTATCTGAGAGATAAGTGACTCTTACAAAATGCTTGACTTCTAAGAGATGCTAAAAAAGAAATATTCAGAGAAGAGTCAGTTTGTTCTGACTAGCAGAGATTATACCTAGAAAATTTTCAGAGGACACCACATTGGGAACAGTTGCAATCAAACACAAGTCAGGAGGCAAAATGACACTGAGACACAGGAGAAGCTGAGATCAACAAGATGAGACTCAATAAAAGTGAGTGCTGAGTACTATCCTCAGTGAGAAAGCAAATGTGTCAGTACAATACGCAGCAGAAAGCTGATGACAAGGTATGGCATGAAAGGATCCTGGTTTCAAAGAATCACAGAATCAATAAGGTGGGAAAAAACCTCTGAGATCATCGAGTCCAACCCATGACCAAACACCACCATGCCAACTAGACCATGGTCATGTACAGTCTTTCCTTAAATACCATCTCTCTGGGAAGTCCTTTCCAAAGTCTAATCAGCCTTTCTGTGAAGAAATTCTTCCTGATATCCAACCTAACCTCCCATGGCACAACTTAAAACTATGCCCTCTTGCCCTAGTTGCCTGAGAGAAGAGGCTGACCCCCACCTTGATACAACCTCCTTTCAGGTAGCTGTAGAATGATAAGGTCACTCCTGAGCCTCCTCCAGGCTAAATAACACCGGCTCTCTCAGCTGCTCCTTGTAGGACTTGTGTTTCATTACCCTTATCTGCACTCACTCCAGCACCTCAATGTCCTTCAGAAGCTCAAGTCAAGGTAATACTGCTGCAATGTGGAAGACGAGCTGTGCCTGGGGCATGGCACTGCAGGGGCACCACACCAAAGACACAGGAGGCTGCCACCAGGTTGCACCCAAGGCTTTGGTGGTTTGGGATATCCCGCCAGCTGGGGGGATCCAATGCCAAATGTGTGTGGCCTGCCAGGCCCAGCTGAAGGCTTTGGTCTTGTTTAGCTCTGAAACGGGATGCCTGAGGCTGCAGAGAAAGGAAGGTAGATGAAAAATGCCAACAGCACTTTCCAGCACGCAATGAGCCCAGAGAGCAGATACTTTGCCACCGGGGCAGGTCTAAGTAAAGTCACAGAATCACAGAATCAATTAGGTTGGAAAAGACCTCTGAGATCATCGAGTGCAACCCATGACCAAACACCACCGTGTCAACTAGACCATGGCACTAAGTACCGCGTCCAGCCTTCCCTTGTTGCACCACCTCCCCGGGCAGCCCATTCTGATATTTCCTCACCCGTTCTGGGAAGAAATTCTACCTCGTGTCCAATCTAAACAAGTTGGTATAGTTTGGAGCACTGACCCGGGCCAGGTGCTCGGGACAGCCCCTCCCTCAGGGGGAACGGGGCCGCGTCCATGGGGGCTGCGGCGCTGAGGAACCCCGGGGGCGCGGAGGTAAGGAGAAAGAGAAGACAAGAAGCAGGATGCAGCGGGGCCGCTCCGCCCCTCGGCGCCGCTTGGCGGGAAAGCCGGGCTTTGGCGGGCTCGGAGGAGCAGCGGCGGGCGGGAGCAGGACCGCCGTGCAGCCGGAGCCCAGCCCGGCCCGCAGGGAGCCTCTCGCCCGACATGCCCGCCGAGGGGGAGCCGCTGAGCGCCCCCGCCGCCGGCCCGGGGCTCGGCGAGTCGCAGTACCTGCAACAGGTACGGCACATCCTACAGCACGGCCACCGGAGGGAGGATCGCACCGGCACTGGCACCCTCTCCGTGTTCGGCATGCAGGCGCGGTACAGCCTGAGAGGTGGGCACCGCCGGCACCCGCAGCCCCTGTCCCGGCTCCGTGCCCCTGCTCCCTCTCCCTGCCCTTTGCTCCCCGTCTCCGGCCTCCTGCCTCTGTCCCCCGCTCCCCCTCCCTGCCCTTTGCTCCCCGTCTCCGGCCTCCTG